GCACCAATTTCGAAGCCACGAAAACCATGGATTTCAAGCTTCCAAAGCACGTCCCCTCGCAGTATATATATTTAATATATATATATAGCTTGAGGGGATGGGTTAGGAACAGTGAGCAAATATATATATATATATATGTGTGTGTGTGTGTGTGCTCTTATACATCCACAAAAAGCATGATTTCACAAAGCCCTAAGAATCCTTGGGCCCTCCTCGGTAGGGGTCGGACTCTCCATAGCAGGGGTCTTGACCCGAAACAAACCCTATGTGTTGCGGAACGGATTCTTAGGATCTAGTAGTGATGCCCTTGTTATACTTGTAGCTCGTTGTAACTAGTAGCGACGCACTTGTTACTAGGTAGCTTCTTGCTACTAGATTCAGTGTAGATGTCACATCATGTCACATCGAATCGATTCCGCGGATCGTTTGGGACTTGGGGCAATGCTCGTCGCTCCAGATGGCGCGAAGAGCGGAGGCAGGAGTTGGCAGGCGCGTCGCTCCGTGGGCTGGGTGAACCCGGACACATAAGTAGTAGCGTCCTTGCTCCTAGTAGAAATCCCTTTGCTGCTAGTAGCAAGAATGCTCTGTTCGTAGGAACCCCGTTCGTAGAGTTCTTGTTCCTAGTAGTAAGGCCAGGAGCCCCTGAGTAGCGTCCTAACCATTGATTCAGGGCACAAAACGCTACATACATGACCATACCCAATACCTTGGGGCAGTTATGAGCAGCATGATGTCCGACAGACTTGGGGAAGAATCCAAGTCGAAGGGTCAAAAGTCTGTGGTTGTGGGAGGTGTGTGGGAGGATGTTGAGTTCACATGGGGCAAGGTCAAGTAGTGGCTTCCCAGTGTGTGTGTGTGTAAAGATGTTTAAAGATTCCTCAAGAGCAAACTACCAAACTAATGGATCACTCAGTTCAACTTAGTTTGGACATGCTCTCCTGGCCATATGGGACAATCTTTGGTGGTGCGCTGAAGCAAACACCTGTGTGAGAGTCAGAGGTTCTTCTGCCAGGAGGTGCAGATCGTGATAGTTGATGGCAAGTGACCAACCTGCCAGCAGAGCAACCAATTACATCCAATCAATTGGCTGAATCTTTGGCTACGAATCATACCTTTTGGGGAGACTTGTCCCACTTGTGACACCTATACAGTACTGAACATGACTGAAATATACAGATCACTACTGAGCTGCTCCCCTTCCAGTTGCTTAAGATAGGACGAAATGACATCATGGCTTCTCGCGGCACCCAGGCCCTGGAGGTCAACTGCTCGAGGACTCTGCCAACGGCGCTTTGACGAAGCGCGACGCGTTGCTTCCGCGTTGCCTTGGTTCGGTGCTCTCAGGCTGCTGAGGACGGAAGCCTCGTGAAGCATCTCTAGCGATGCCAGCCGATCGTAGCATCCAACCGGAAAAGGGGGCCACGACTCTTGTCCCATCTTCTGGGTACGTCCGCCACCCTAGCCAAGCACCGGCCGAAAGAAACGCGGTTGAGGACGACGATTTGGACCGCCAGCTCAAGGCCCATCATCCTGTGGTGAAGGCGGCCAAGGTGGGCCATCCGACACCCAACCGTGGCGCGCTCGAGGCATAACACAGTTGCAGGTGAGACTCGGTGAGACAGTTGACAGGAAACTCTCGGAGACTGGGGGGAGGGAGAAGGTGGACGTATTTCGTGGCGCGGCAGAGAGTTCAAAGATCTCCAAAGCCGCTTTCCTCCACCGGACTCCCGACTCGGAGGCGTCGAAACCGAGGAGTAAGGTCGATCGATCTGCTAGCCATGTCTAGGGGAGCAACCACAACCAGGCGGTCCTAATTCTTAACCTAGCCTAGCCAAGCCTTCCTGTTGCTACTTGAGGGACTCAGTCCTAATTAGTGTTCCAAAAATGGTCCTCGCAACGGCGAAGAGAGAGAGAGAGGCCTGAGATTGGCCTCCCCAACGGCCTTCCTCGAGCTCCGCAGTGCTCAAGCGGCAACGCGCCGCAATCCGCGCCGCCATCCGCGCCGCAACGCGCCTCCCCGCCGCCGCACGGCTCCAGTTTCGCTCATTTGGATCGGGTCCGACACATTTTCAAGGCGGGACCGTCCGACCCCGTCGGCGAAGCAAACGGGTGAACCGAAGGAGTTGGACACAGAAGAACTGTTTTAGGAGTTTTAGGGCCGATGGTCTGGAACTCTGTGGCCAAGTGGGCTTGTGTTGTAGGTGGTAGGAGTATGTAGGAGTGGTAGAGTCTATCACTGCTACCAGCACCTCACAAGCCCACTTCCACTGGTTTTCCACTCTTTGGACACTGACCACTCTGCTTGGTGCCCGTTTCGTAGCGCAGAAGACTTCAACTTCTACTTCATTGTTCTTCTCCATTCCTCTTCCTTTTCCTCTTCCTCTTCCCCTTGTTCTTCTTCTTCTCCTCCTCCTCCTTCTCCTTCTCCTTCTCCATTCTACTTCTTTTTTTCCTTTTTGTTCCTTTTCTTTGCCTTCAAGTGAAAGAATATAAGCCGAATTGGACGCAGTGATTCCAATCCAAGGGAATCTGAGGAAATTGACGATCGAATCTATTTGAGGAAGTAGTTGAGGAACTGGACAGTTGCAGGTTTCTGATAGACTGGCCAGGAAGATTCAGAAGTTGAGTACGTTTTCTCTTATTGTGAAACCAACGAAGTTGTTCACATATATGCCATTTACAGGGCGTTGAGCTGTGGGATCAAAGCCACTTTGTGTCACTTTGTGTCACTCATTTCGATCGGAAAGCAGGCGATGGAGACTTCAATTGTGATCGAAGCATTCGGAAAGAGCGACTTGCTTAGAAGCGAGCCAGTGGAGTCTAATGAGGTTAGGGGTTGCGGAGATTTTCTCGAAGATGCGTCGATTCTAGTTAGCTAGCTAGCTAGTTAGCTAGCTAGTTAGTTTAGTTAGTTAGTAGTACGGTATAACGGTATACACGTTGTTGTGTGTTGCTTTGCTAGGGTGATAGGGAGACTGGGCCCTTGACTCTGCACTCACGTCCTTGGCAAACCAGAGACCGCTTGGTGGCGTTTTGGGAAGAGTGCGATGTCGATGCTCCCAGCGGCACCGGGCGGCACAAGGGCAGCGCTACTAACAAGGGCATCACTAGTAGCAAGAAGCTACTGGCTATTTGCTTTAATGCTCTTGTCACTAGTAATTAGCGATGCACTTGTTACTAGACATTTGGGAAAGCCCTTCCAGATTGAACCGTTGGCGAACTGCAAGGAACCGATTCACAGCCATGGGCCCATCGACCGCGCTCTCCCAGAAAACCCGAAAGTGCTTTCCCCATCGAAACGATCCCGAAAACGGCGGACCTCGAGGTTTCTGCTGTGATCTTCGGCTGAGCTCCTTGGATTTGCAGCTCACCGCCTTACAGAGCGTCTTGTCCATCTTGGAGCACGCCATCCGAGCCGCCCGTCTGAGATGGGCGTGGGCGCGAGATGGGGTCCAAAAGCGAGGGCAGGAGACACACCTCGACCGTTCCGTTCGACGGAACTTGGAGCGGGGTCGAGAGCGCGAAAAGCACCGAATCTCATGCCCTCCCATTGTGGGTGTGTGTATCATATATGTAGACTCTAGACATCTGTAGACCTTTCGTGGGGACCTCCCCACCGGGTAGACCGGTCACACTCCCGAACCTTCCACGTGTCGAGGCATCAGGTCGAGCGGAAGACCAAAGCTTCCTGCAGCTCCAAGTCGACGAGGTGCGCCGGCGAAAAAGGGACACCGGGCGACACCGGGTCACATCGAACCCAGGTTGGGTGGTTTGAACGGCGTGTACGTCGAAGGTTCGGATTCCAAGAACCACCCGAACTGTGTCGTAATCGCGGGTTCAGCGGAAGGTTTGTGTGCTTTTTCGTTATCAGTGAGTCTAAGAATCACGACCCTGCTGGTTCATGGTTCGTTTTCATAGGATGGGTGGCACAGCAATGGGCTTGGGGTACCGACGGCTTGACCAGAGAAAATCAAGAGAATGGACTACAAGTCGGTCAACCTACCAGGGTGCGTTCGGGGCGAAACGGGTGCCAGAAAGCAAGCCAGTTGGGGTAACCTTGATCGCTTGCAAATACCTGATTTCTCGTACTGTGCGTCGAATGGGAAATACAGATGAAGACTTGACTTCGTAGATTTTACTCCGACTGCACGACCAGCAAGATTCCAGTGGCTGCGCCGCTTGGATCAACGAATCTGTTCCCTAAATCCCCACGACAAATATGTCCAAGCAGACCAAGTAGGGGTTCAGCAGTCAGACCAGCTGACCACGAGAGATGGCCATGTTCAGATAGTCTCCCAAACAGATATGGAGAGATCACCGGCGGAGCCATCGATCGCTTGGGCGACAGGCCGACAGCCCACCGGCCCTTGAGGTCGAGGAGTTGCGTCAACGACTCTTCGCGGAGTCGATTCAAGTGGCGGTCCCTGAGTGTGAAGAGGACCTTCAAAGAGGGTAGGTTGAAAAGGATGTGTTGAACAGATGTCCAGATTCTGTTCGATTCTTGTTTGACTGGTACAGTTCTTTTACTTTTAGGTCATCACACCAGGTCAGGAGAAATAGAACATTTGACAGGTGATAGAAGAAGAAATCTTCATGCTTCGTTGGGTCGTCATTCTTCAGCACCGACCAGTCGGCGCTCTTGGAAGGTGTTTTTCGGCTTCGAAATCCACGAATTCACGGCTTGGCTTGGCGGAATCAGTTTCGAAAGACACTGTTATTCCCGGAATGCATGAGCCAACCCACCCAACTTCACCTCGAGGTAGACATCTCTTCATCCAACCTGCAGGAGCTGTTGGAGATAGAGGACCTCTTCGAGGAGAAGAAAGCGCTGAGCCCACCGAGTAAAGCGATGCTGAGCCCGCTGAGTCACATGAGTCACCGGTCGCCACGTTGGAAACGACCGGAAGCGCCGCTTCGGGGGAAGCGGCGCAGGCGGTGGGACAGACGGTGGGACGCCAAAACCCATCGGGTGAACCGTCGCTTCGGCGCTGTGTTCGGGTGAAACGACCACCCCACGGACCTCCACCGCGACCCGTGGGAGACAAAGCGACGTGTCGATCGTCTCGTTTCTCCAGCAGTCCAAGCAGACGTGACCGGTCTCCAGGGGTGCTAGCGTCTTGTGCATCGGATTGAATGGAATGGTAAGGCCTCAAGAAGGACTGAGAAAACCAATGAACACCATCATAGAAAAGCTGTGACAGCGCTGTAGGGCGCTGGGAGCCGATGCATGCGTTGTGCTGCTTTTTGTTTCTCTTTGTAGTCTGCCTAAGTTCAACATCAGTCAAGGGTCAAGGTCGCGGCGTTGTGCTGCTTGTTCCTGAACATGTATGCGGTCGAGTAGGGTGAGGTGTTCCAGACGCGATCTCCTGAACAAGCTAGTCCAAAGGGGCAAGATGTATCAAGATATCCCAAGGCACTGCACATTGCATTCCCAAGCAACCATAATTATCAACCTTCTAGTCAACCTTCCTTTATTGTCAATCCTTTTCCTCCCAGAACAGAAGGCGGACGCATCCTCTCCAGGCTGACCTGCAAGCTCCAGTCGTCCAGTCGACCGTCGTGACAAAACGCTGCTCAGGTGAGGTTGCACCACGTAACTTGCCAGGCATGACGTTCGAGGCCGGTCTGAAGAGACCGAGACATGGGCATTCGTTTGGTTTCGATTGCTTGTGTCGTTTTTGGGCAGAACGAGGCCATCCATGCAGAGCGTGTGTGTGATTGTTCGAGTCAAGCTTGCTTGTAGTCTGGCTTTTTGCCTGTCGAGTCACATGTGAGTGTTCATGGTATTCGCAATTTGATAGATCTGATAGACCTTGGCTTTGTCCTATTACCTGTAACAGTCGGGCCTGCAACTGGGCCATCATCCATAAAGGGCCCTGGTAATGGGATATGGCTGTGAGTCAAAACCTCCCCCACCAAACCATGGTAGGTGCCCGGGTACAGCATTCCACAGCCATATATACCTAAGATAGACCGTACAAGACAAGCGGAGAACTGGGACGATCGAACTGTTTGTGGTTTAAAGATATTAAATTATTTTCTCCGCGGGCAGCTGTTGAGCAGTTTCGTGAAGTGTTGGTTTGGTTCAGTCAAAGTTGAAGCAAATGGACAGACTTGAGCAGTTCGCCTCCCTTTCACATAACATGCATTTTGCTCGATGCATATGTCGTTGTATAATTGTCGGGAACATGTCCATAAATCCTCAGCAAATCCAGAGCAAGCAAGAAGCTTGGATGTCAAGGAGGAGATGTTTTTCAGTTGTTCCAGCTCTACTTCTTCCACCTCGAGTTCACCTGAAGTTGACCCCGACGGTGCGCTTTCCGGCGGCTGGCGTGCGCTGCGATGGGCGCAGGATGGCAGTTCCGAAACAGACGACACCCGAAGTGGGACACTTGGTATTCCTCGGATGGTTGGAGCACCTGGAGGTTGTTGGATGAGATTTGTGCCCTGAGAAGAGAGCTACCACCAACAACCATGGAGTCACTGAGTAGCGCTACAGTGACCTTTCAATCTATTCGCTTCGTACCCATGACTTTCCATGGGAATGCTATGCATTCGCTCAAAGAACTGCGAATAGATTGGGTGTTCCACGCATTCTGTTGCCACGGCAGGTTCGACCGCTGCGCCAGCACGACGAGTGTCCCGGCGACCGATCTGGCTCGACCGATCTGGGTCTTCTCTCGGCCTTTCAAAGATAGCACAAGCACCAGGGACTGAAGACATGTCAAGAAGCTACGAACGGGGCTCCTGGCATCACTACGAACGGAGCGATCCGACGCTGCGAACGGGGCTCCTGGCCGTGCTATTAGGAGCATTCTTACTACTAGTAACAAGAAGCTACTAGGGACTGAAAGACACATGTTTCCTGAACCGGGTCCAAACACGGAGACATTAGTACCCAGCGGGAGCCAGGGAAAAATGTAAAACGGATTTCAAACACACTGCATTGCACGGCCATTTGGTGAAAGATGTGACCTCTCAGGTTCTGATGTTCTCGTTGCACTCATCAGGCGGTTGGATATCTTCGAACAGCACAGCGCGTTTTACATGCACGTGTGGGAGGGAGAATGCTTCCTAAACGGATCGAGGATGCACCCCGTTTGAAACTGACAATGAAGGATACCAGGTATGTTTGAAAGTTTGACTTAGAGGTACTTAGAGCAAGGACCGGAGCTGCATCTTCGAAAGGTTCCCATGAGTGTCACTGAGAAGATTCGCAAGGACTTATAGGATTTCCCCATTGAAGGGGGCCACCCACTACCGTTGAGGCTGCTTTCAGGACCAACCTGGAGACAGAAAAATGGGCGGAATTCCGATCTTCGTTTGCTGAGTACAGCCGAGGCACGACGACACACTTGGGGATTCTCCCTGTCTGCCAAGCCGGTGAAAGACA